CAACTAATTTTCCGTAATATCAACAGTCATAAAATGAAGATGAAAAGCGCAGAGAAAAAAAGCAACGGGAAAGGTCACAGGGGAAAGTACCTTAGCAATCACAGTAAACGATATTTTCGTTGTGAAATAGCTAAAATAAGAAGAAGAAAAAAAAAATAAGAAAAAGAGCGGCACACTCATCTACGTTTCTTTTCTCATGAATATTTGTGACTGAGATTCACAAGTCGAATAGTTAATTGAATAGCGGGTTTGCACATTACCAAAGTGCCTTAAAATGAAGAGAGAGAGAGTCAGAGAGTCAGAGAGAGAGAGAGAGAGAGAGAGAAATGTTACGCGTCAATGGTTCCACTATGTTCTGAATCAACGCTGTATTCAAATTCGACAGCAGAATAAGGGCAACGGACGATTGCTGTCCACTGTGATTTGTTAAAGTTGCTTGTGCTTGATTCCGTTTTATGTGGGTTTCTGCTATGTTTTCCGTTTGTGAATATAATAATAGGACATTGTGTTTTTACACCCAAACCGAATGTTGCAAAGGTTTTTACGTACCTCCGCAGTCCACACCTATTTCACTTTTCCTTGCGTTTTATTTACATTATGTTGATGGTCTATTTTTATGGTACTTTGTGGATAATTTTCAGCATTTGAAACGTTACTTAACGGCTGATAACGAATGAGAGAGGGGGAGATTCGGAGCATTATAGCCTTGATGCCAACAGTCAATTTTCATGCCATTTTCAGAATTACTTTTTAAAGGCATGTTATGACGCAAAAATGTGAGTGTTAATGTTACCCGACTACAAATGCGCGTAGCACCACCCTTCCCATTCATTTTTGTATCAGTGCAAATGTATGCGGTCAATGCAGAAACAAATCCGATTCATTCTATACCATACTGTAATTTGATGAACAATCATGTTGCTGAAATCATAAATGGAAAACAGAGTAAACTTAACAATGTGCGTGTGACTGTTTTTTTTTAAAGGATTTTTGCCGAACTGCTGCTCGCACTTGTAACCAGCATTTGGTGGAAGAGATTAGATTGAGCACGTATGGCACGAGAAATCA